TTCACAGCTCCCCTTCCAAAAACTTCCTCCACATGCTGCCCTAGAAGCCAAGTTACACAAGAGAATTATACTGGGCATCTGCAGCTTTAACTCCGCAATTGCTATCGTACTCGTGCAAATTAGAACAGGAGGAAGTGAATGGGAAAGAAGGCGTGCAACAAGGCAGAAGAGAGGGAGAATCGAGATCGAAAACAAAACAAATTCTGCGCCTCAAAAACGGGGCGAGACGACTTCCTGCCGAAAAATGCCGAAAATTCTTACTGCGAGAGCATACTAACAAATGAATAACTTATCAAATTAATGCCTAAAAATCAGTAATAATTAATGCAGATTTTCTATTACGGCTTTTAAACCAAAACTGTACAGTTATCCTTGAAAACAGCGGCACTTGCCTCTATGCCCAACTGGTTTATTTGTCGCTAACTGTCTTATTGCCTCCTTCCTACTTCAAAAAAAAAAAATTGCATTAGAACGTTTTTGCATTGTAAAAGCGTAAGATTTCAGTAAAACGGACCGCGCGCCGGGGTTCCTGGAAAAATTTGAGGAATATTGGATAGCATTCCTCCAAAATTTGGTACTTCACTTTGGACGGCATCTCCTTAAGTCCGAAACGGTGCCTCACATCGACAAACGCATCTGCCAGATGTAGAATAAAGCACAGGTCGAAGAGCACCGGCAGCGAAACAAACTGATAGAGCATCAAAGCAAAGCTCTTCAGCAACAGTATAGAAACGGACCACGGTAAAAAAAACAATGAGCTAAAACGCTCACTGTGCGAATTTAAATGCACTTTTAGCTTCTCAAGCATGAAACGTCGTGCATTTCTATTTTTATGCATATTTACTCGTTTTTGCATATTATGTAAATTGTAAAAAAGCATACTGTCGAGTGGCTGTCTGTGTGTGTTTCTGTGTTCGGAGCCAAATGAACACTTTCAGTCCAGCAATCAGGAAAGTTGGGAAGCTGAAACTTTGCATAGATATTCTGCATGCATGTGAACTGAGTCAAAAATTTCAGCACATTCGTATCGAAGTTCTCAACTGGTATCATGCCAAAT